AAATGGAAAGCAAACTTACACACTGTATTAAACTCCCCAGCTTCCCTCTGGTGATGTCAAATGGCAGTTTCACAACTTCATAGTAAACTTCCAAATCTATACAAATCCGTTTCTGGATTTCCTGATTTATTCCACTGATAAGTTTATCCACTCCTGAGTAAGCATGCACTGTTAACGGCTGCAGCTTTGAGGTACATTCTGGTGTAAGATACAGGAATGTTCCATTTCTTTTTTTGTTTTGTTTTGAATGTTCCATTTCTTTTAAAAATTCTTTCTTGGCCATTTGCTCTCCCAGAGAAGTTTAGAATTACTGTATTGAATTCCCCTAGGAGGGGAAATCATTATTTTTACTGGCTATACATGTAATTTGTAGTATATTTATTTGGAAAGAAATAACACTTTCATAAGGTGGAGGCTTCTCTTTGAGGTTCATGGTACATCTCACCATTGACTCAATTTTTTTTAATGTCCTTTAGGAAGGCTAGTGTGGCTCTTACTATTATTTAAAATGGCACCCCTGTCATTACCAGTGAGGTTACGTGTTTTCCATGTATTTTACTTACTAACTATTATTAGGTAAATTATCTGCAGTCTCCTTCATCACTTTATCCATTGGCATTCTTAATATTTTTCTTATAAATGTGAATTTTCTTCATGTTCTTTATTCTAAGCTATCACTAAAGGTACGATGAGCCATTAGTTTAAAATCACAGCATTCTGTGCAAAGACTCTGTCTCTCACAAAAAAACCCCAAATAACACTTTAAACATACACATCAACCAGAGGAGTTGAATACAACTTCAGTATTAAAACAAAGGAAAAAATTACACATTGAAAACCAGGAAAATATTGTGTTTTAGAGATTAGCCCTTGACAGTGAAGGCTGACCCAGTTTTCCTGTAACTCCAGCCTCCCTGCTCACCACCACCCGCTGTGAGATGTTTTCATGGACTCAGATTTTCCCCTCTGCTTCTGAAACTGCTTTTATTACTTCAAATCTAAGAAAGTTTCACTTTCTCTACAGATCTGATTCTATTCTGTGTTTTTTAGCCAGTTATTCTGACCTAATTTTTAAGATATTTATCTTAATTCATCTAGAAACGATGTACGACCTGAGCTGAGGATCTAAAAGTCATTCCCAAAATTGCTCTAAGGTTTCCCTAAACTATTTACTATGCAAGTTTTTGCTTCCTGATTGGTATAGGTGAAGAACGTTTTATCTTTAAAATTCGCCCGGAGTAGATCTGAGAGACCACTTCCAGACAGCAGGTGAGGAATTCCGAGGACATAATAGGCAACCCCGGTGAAAAGCAGGGAAACACAACATTTGTTTCTCTGGGAACTGGGGACGAAGTCAGCAAAGAAAGACTCACTGCAGAAAGTCTACTAAACCTGCTAAGAAGAGCAGAGTCTGCCGCACCCAAGCCGGGACACCCTGCCTCCTGCCCAGCAGACCGGCCTCCTCTCCTGCGCCACTTCTCACTCCGGCTGCAGGTGGGGGTGAGAGAGGCGAGGGCTCCCTCCTTCCAGAGGCAGAGGCTGGCACTGGACCACGCGAGGCCCCAGCCCTCACCCCATCTTGCTCTCAGTGCAGAGGCTCCAGGCTGGGAGGGGCCCTCCCAGGCCAGAGGCTTCTGTGCCCAGCCCCTAGCTCACTGAGCAGGGTGTCCCCTCAAAAAGCCAGCCACTCACCTCACTCCCAAGCTCTGGAGCAGTGACCCAGAGATTTCTTCCTGAGGGGGAAGGCAGTCCATAAGAACAGGCTGCACCTCAACAGAAATGACTTTATTTGAAACCAATGTGGGCAAGTCCCAGCCTCAGGATGTGCCTGGGAACAGTGGGGATTAGGGGCTGAGCATTAAGAGGAGGGTGGAAACTTCACAAGAGCAACAAGCTGGGCGCCAGCGACAGCTCAGCAGAGGGAACTGGGGAAAGGGATACTGAGGAGGAGCCATCCTGGGATCAGAAACCACCTCGTCCAAATGGACCTGGACCAGCATGTGGAGCCAGCAATGCCCCAAGGTACTGTTCAAAACAAGAGAGCAACCAGCCAGCAATCAGGGGAGCCTGACACTGCGATACCAACCGAAGCAGAAAGCTGAACAGAGAGATCAGGGAAAGGACCGTGAACTACCGGCATCCCTGGGTGACTGTGCACATGGCTGGCTGGGCCCTCGGAAGACAATGGCAGAGGCTTCCCACTGCAGGGGAAAGAGGGGCACAACAATGGTCTGGCTGGTCACCAGACGAGTAAACAAGCTAATGCGTCCTGCAGGTGGTGGCAGGGCAGGAAGGTCAGTGTCCCAGAGCTGATACAATATTTAACTGAAATGACCAGGTTTCAACAAAAAGTTAAGAGCCATGCAAAACAGAATATGATCCACATGCAAGAAAACAATTGAAACTGCCCTGGGGGCCCAGATGTCAGACTTAACAGATGAAAACTTCCAAGTAGCCACCATAAACACATTTAAAGAACTAAAGGAAACCACCTACAAGGACATGAAGGAAGGTATGATACACCAAACACCGACTCTCAATAAGGAGACAGAAATCATAAAAGAAGAACCAAACACCCAAGAGAAATGAAAACACGCATTCACACAAAAGCTTGTATATAACTGTTCAAGGCAGTATTATTCATAAAAGTCCAAAAGTGGAAGCAACTGAAATGCCCATCAACGGAGGAAGGGGGGGGGGAAAAAATCACATACTGGAATATTATTCAGCCATGAAAAGGGACGAAAGCACTGCTACATACTGCAACATGGATGAACCTTAAAAACATTATGCCAAATGAAGGAAGCCACTCATACAGGGCCACATATTGTATGATTTCACTTATATGAAGTGTCCAGAACAGGCAAGTCCACAGAGACAGAAAGTAGATTCATGGCTGCATAGGGCTGGGATTGGGGGGATGGGGAGTGACTGCCAATGGGGATAGATTTCTTTCTGGGGTGATGAAAATGTTCTACTCTTGTGAGGGTTGGGCAAAACTCTGAGTAGACTAAAACCCATGTTATGTCATATATCTCAATGAAGCTGTTTTTAAGATAAAGAGATGATAGAGATATAAGGATGGGTAGATAGATGAAATAGATAAACACAGATCACTACAGATCCCCAATTCCTTATCTGCAGCTCTGAAATCCAAAAGGCCTTTAAAAATATTTTATTGCCTTTTTTTGTCCTAAGTTGAATAGCTGACACAACCAGGTTCAAAGCCCACGACCGCTTCTACTTTTGTGCATCCAACACCCCGTCCAGTGTACCTTTATCTGTGTGATGTTTCCTTCAAGCTCCGTGGGGGTCTGAAGGGTCCACCTGTCCTTGCCCTCCACCCCTCCACCACTCTGGGCACCGGGCACTTTTCTCCACATGGCCACTCGTCCTTTATCAGTACCTGCTGCCAGAAGACCTACAGGTAAAGACAAAGTTTACGTTACTTGAACTAAAAAGGGATGAAAACAGTAGTAAGCTCCCTCCTCTGAAACACCAGCCGTTGGCGCCTCCATCCAGTAACTCTCCAGCCTCTGATCTGGCTTCACCACTGCAGGTAATGTGTGTGTGTGTGTGTGTGTGTGTGTGTGTGTGTGTGTGTGTGCGCGCGCACGCGTACACACACGCAGATGGGGTGGTGGTGCTGTCTGCCGTCTGGTTTCTGGCTTCCATGAGAGAGAAGCCTGACTGCCCACTCAGTGCTGCTTATCCAGTGCCAGGCAGCACGGAGAACACGGGCAGAAAATCAGTGCTTCTCTTATGTGTCTCCTAGTCTTTCTGTCCTGTGTGTGCATGCGTGTGTGTACGTGTGCACATATATGTATATTTCCTACATCCGAGCGGCCGCCATAGCTGTAATTGAGGTTCCGTTCTCCTGAATAGCCCCTAGTTCCATGTAATCATCATGCAGCCCAGAGCAGAGCCTGAGGTGGGCTCTTTCTCTCTCTCTCATGCCAGGAAGTCTCACCTTTGACTTTACAGTAAGAAACACAGTTTATATTCTCTCCTTTTTCAAAACCAAACTTCTCCTCTGGACTCAGTATGTAATTCTCTCCTCTTTCTAAATCCCAGAACCTACAACACAAGGAAGAAAGCCCCCCAAGGGGCCTGTGTTAGTGTGTCTCCCTCAGCTCCGAGAGTCTTCTTCAACCTGCAGAGCAAATTTTAAAAATCAGGAACTCTGGTGAGAAAAGCCTGGCGTTACCCCATTTATGCCCTGTTCACAGTCAAAGGGAGCAGCTGTTAATAACAGAGGGTTCCTGTGTGACACCAGGTCACAATGAGAACAAAGGACTCCAACCACCCCCAATAACACAGGAGAACCTCTGAACAGCAAGTGGACACGAGAGCACATCAGCATGGATTCCATCTATACCAGGCCATGTGGATGTGTGTGGTTGGTAACAGGGCACCATAATTTGTGTGTTTTTCTACATGTATGTTACACTCCAATAAAAAGTTTACTCAAGAGACTGTTCTGGGCAGAATCTTAAATCACAGGCTCTCACCTGAGGACCGCCTCCCCTACAGCGGTCACGAGAAGGCTGCCTTCGATCAAAGCGATGTCTACCCAGCGACCAGTCTTCCCACTCAACTTCACCTGCACGGCAAAAACAACCCAGACAGAGCATGTCACTCTTGTTGAGACCGTGTTCCTGTACAGGACTCTGATCTGTAGTGACCTCGTGGAGACTCACCAAGTGGAGGGAGGGAGGGTAGAGGTGGACACCTGGAAAGGCAGCCCCAGCTTTTGAGGCCAAAGCAACGACGATTTGCATGTTAAATGGTTGATGACAGCGGGTACCCAGTGCATTGCGAGGCAGCCGTCACACCCCATGTGCACAGCAAACCTCCCAGGGCTCACCAGCCAGCAAGGGGCTGAGGAGGGATTTGAACCTAGGTCCACAGGACTCAGTGACCACATTTCAACCCCTGTGTAGACAGAGGTGCACAAATGACCCCACAAACACTGACCCCCCCCCGCGATCTACAGGAGCATCTTAGAGAAGGTTCAGAGTCCTCTGAGAATCATGGAATCTTCCGGTATATACCAAGAAATAAGCAGGAGGGTGGCGCGAGCAGTCCTCAGGGAGCTGCAGGCACTGTGAGACCAGGACCCAACACCCTGGCACTTTCGGGCATCCTCCCGTGAGTGAGCAAGAGGCTCCCTCGGGGACAGCAGGGCATACTCAGTTGTGACTGTCACCCACGTCTTGGGTAAAGCAACGCGCACATGTGGGCCAGAAGCTGTGTCGTGGAAGAGACACTGATGACAACCCCCCAGGCCCTCGAATGCAGCCTGCACGTGGCTGGATTTCCCTACCTTGTGTCCCCACCGCATGGGGAACCCAGGGCCCCCCATACTCCTTCTCCCGCTGCTCTAGGAAGGCCTCTTCCTTCTGCGGCTCCCCTACTGTGAACGATAAATGAGGTACTAAAGCTCTGTCAGCAGCCCTGAAATACGGATTCCTTAACTCAGCCAAGGGGTGGGTGAGGCTGGCAAGAGGAGCTGGTGACCCCGGCCCCGGCCCCACACACCTTCATCATCTCCTCGGCCTTGCCGTCGGGTGTCACCATGTACAGGCACAGCAGCAGGCTCTCTGTGACTGCCGCCAGCGCCTCTCCCTTCTCCATGTAGAACAGCATCTGGACAGAGCTGTCGGTCGACGCCACCTGGGCCGTCTTGCCTTTCTCGTCCATGTAGTGCACAGTCCCTGGGGGAAAAGGGTCAGTCCTTTCTGTCCACTTAGGGACATTTTCAAGTAAAACACCTTCATTATAACCATTTACAAGTGCAACGTTTTAACAACATGGCACGTGACCTCACAGGCAGCCACCTCTGAAATGAGCTGTCTCATTGGTCAGTTCAGCCTTGACCTTGACCCCAGCACCCCTGCCAGTCCTCCCCCAACCACTTCAGAGGGCTCCGATCCTCCTGGCTCGCCTCCTCCACACAGTTTGTCCTGTTCCTCGAACACGAAGTGCACATCTATCGGCTATATGCTGAGGTCCTCAACTGTGACCCCTCCTGCAGCCACCCTGTGCCCTCTGTCCCACGTTGCATTGGTCAACGTCTTGTCTACACTCTGCTTACCTCCACAGGCCCTCATCTAAGCCTCAGGGCATCTCTTGGGCTGGACTTCTACTTCTGGACCCTGCCTGAGCCTGCCCGCCCCTTGTGTACCTCCCGGGTCCTCTTCAGGCTTCTGAGCAGAGGTGGGACCTCTGGGAGGTCTCAGATGTGATTCATCTCCTTTGCCCTCAGGAGCATCCTCACCCTCTGGACCCCTCCCACCTCAGTCCCAATGGACAACTTGGGTTCTTATTAAGCTGAGAAGGTCCAGGTCATCTAGAAGTGAACCATAACAATACCTGGTATTTACTCAGCACATGTTTGTGACAGGCTTGAGTCTGCTATCATTTCCAGTGTGCTCTTGAGGCAGGTATTGTAATTTGGCCCATTTTATGCATTAAAGACGTGGGTTAATTAGCCACTGAGATGCACTGCTCCCGACTGAGGGGACGCACTGACACCCACTACGGAGCCGGGCTCGTCAGTGCCCCACCCCCTCCCCTGGGGTGGGTGGACACACCCTTGTGCACTCAGCATCTCCTGCGTGTCTTTCCCACCCCATTTCCTCGATTCTCCTTCCTGAGGGCACCTGGCCCTTGGTCTCCCCTCCCAGCCACCCCAACAGTGCTGGGCCCACTCCATGTTCCTCCTGGGGCCACATCCAAGTCTCCTCCTGCAGCTGCATCTCCTTACCTCCAGAGACGCAAGGTTTCTTTATTTTTAAATAGACAAAAGCCCCCCAGCCACTCCCAGTTGTCACCTGTCACAGTTAAGCTACATGGTGACAACGTCCTCGAACCTCATCACCTCTGTGCAGCCACCCTTCTTCAGCCTCTTTCCCGCAGTGGACACACACTTGTGCACATCTCTTGTGAATGTGAAAGACTATTTCCCTGAACTTCATGTTGCGTTTATCAGCTGCTGTGGGGCCGTCTGCCTCACTACACATGCTAAGGACAAGTTGTGTCAAAATCAGGACAGACGGCACTGACATCTGCAGGCTGGAAGCAAACCCAGCCAGCATGTCCTGCTCCCATCCCATCCCAGAGCAGAGCTGAGCACCTGGCATGAGGCGGTGCCCCACGACGACACAGGCTCGACAACAGGACGCAACCAGGGGTGTCTGTCCCGTCTGGTGCTGCACACTGACCACCTCATCATGAAAAACCTTCAAACGCCAATAAAGCTCCATTTGTCTCATTCGGGTCAAGGTGAAGCCATTCTTTGGATATCAGGGAAAAAAACTACAAGAAGCTGGCTAACGTGTCCCTCTGGGAGTGCCAGCCTGTGATTTTATGCAGAAACACCATCCATTTGTTTTTAATCTCTCCCAGCTACCCTGAAATCCCAGTGTCCCAGAATCCCACCCCGAGTCTCACCGTCCGTCAGGCTGACAAAGAATGAGAGGTCGTCCTGAGATCTCATTTTCAGGAAACTTCCAAAGCCACTTTTCCTCCAGTTAAACATGTCCAGGGCCTTCTCGTCACCACTCACAGCCGCCTTTGCCAACTGAACAAGGTCCCTGGAAGCAAGAGGGACAGTGAAGTCAGGCTTCCTTGCTGCTCCCTGGGTGAAGGTGGTGTAATTACCAAAGTGACCCCCCCAGCATCAGGAGCCACAACACCGCCCCGCCAGCCCCTCCAAGGATGCAGACACCAGCCGCCACATGAGCGCTACTTACTGGCTGGGAGGGGGGAGCCGGAAGATGCAGTGAGTCAGGTGTTTCCCATACTCGTGCTTCAGTAGGGGTGCCCCCTGGATGCGACCCCTTTGGTCCAACCTCCATAAAAACAGGACACCAAGCTGGAAGACCCAACACCACATAGGGAGGAAGCACATTCTTATGGGGTGACTGGTGGAAGGCAGGGTTACACGTGTGCTTACTCCTTTTTTAACTTTTAAATTACAAAGCTCCTACACATGCACCATGAAAAAGACAAACAATTCAAAAGTGTTCAACGAAGGAACCAGAAACTCTCCTATGTGCCCCCCCTCAACTTTACTCCCTGAAGATAAACCAGTGTCACACGTTCAGTTTTTTAAACAAACCTTTAATTTTGGAATAGATTCAGATTTAAGGAAAAGTTGCAAAGACAGTTCAGAGAAGTCCCATACCCAACACCTAGCCTCTCCAATTATTGATCTAATGTCACCATGCTACATTTCTCCAAATTAGTGAGCCAACTGGTGCACTATACTAACTAAAGTTGGTATCTTCTTCACATCTCCCTGCTTCTTCCTGACCCGGGACCCCATCCAGGCCCCACAGACATCTGGGCATCACGCCTCCCTGGGCTGCTCTGGGCTGGGACAGTGTCTCAGACTTTCCTGGTTTTGATGTCTTGATGGTGCTGAGGAGGACTGGGCAGGGATTCTGTAGAACGTCCCTCCCGTAGGATTTGTCTGAGGTTTTTCTCATTGTTGACGGCATGGTTTGGGAGGAAAACTAGAGGTGAAGTGCTGTTGTCCACACATCTATCAGGGGACTGCTCTGCTGATAGTGACTCTGATCTCTCGGCTAAGATTATGTCTGCGAACTTCTTCACTGTCCTCTTTTCCCCCTTCCAGCCTGTCCTGTTTGGAAGGAAGTCACTGCACAGCCCACATGCAGGAGAAGGGAATCATGGCTCACTTCCTTGAGGATGCAGTGTCTCCATAGATTTGTCGAGATCTGTCTCTTCTCCACCACTTACTGACTTATTAAATCACAGATCTGTATCAATATGGACTCATGGATATTTATGTTCTGCTTTGGGTTATAACCCAATATCACTGTATTTGTTTTGATGCACAAATGGTCCAGCTTTGGCCACCAGGAGCTCTCTCGGCTGCTCCTGCATCCCTGTGATGCACCAGGTGTTGTGGGTTCTGTGAGCACCTCCTTCCCTCCTGGCACCACCAGATTCTCTGGGAGCATGGTCCTGCCCCCGTCCTAGAATCAGCCATTTCTCCAGGGAGCCCTGGTTCCTTTTATTGGAGGAAACCAATAGAAGCCAAGATCTGAAAGCCATGTGTACTGTATATTCACTTTCGAAGTCCTCAAAATCTCAAGGCAACGGCACAGACAAGTGCTGGGAAAGCTCAAGTCAAGGAGATTATGCCCCTAGAGTTGGTCCAGGAGGGTTTCTGAGGGGGACAGGAGCGAAGTGTTGCCAAATGGCACTATTTCCATTAAAACCTGCGGCTCTTTTGCTTTGATGCCACAGTGTTCCTCAAGGCATGTTTCCTGCTCAGGGCATCAGTGGGCATTTTAATAGACAGTGAAGTCATCTGCCCATCCTTCTTTCAAGCAGCTTTCATTCCAGTATCCTCACATGCTGGGTAACATCACTTTATTGTATGTAAAAATATGATTTTCAAATAATGTCAGCCTTAAAAAAGCAAATTGTACAGTGAACCTCTATGAAAAGTATGTAAGATCAGAAATAGTATGGAACACAAGTACACATAGAATTTGAACAGTATATTATTAAACAGATTTTTCTTGACTTTGCCAGCTTGATAAAGACAAGAATAAAAACATTACTGGTTTCTTTGTGTTTAGAAGTTATTTTTAAAAGAACATTAAAAAATACTGCTTGCACAATGAGCTCCACACACACAAGGACAGAAGTGAGGTTTCCTTCCACCGCTGCCCAGCCTCCTCCTGAGAGGACCTTGCAGCAGGGCCCCATCTGTTTTAGTGCACACAGCACCTGTGGGGATGGTCCTCTTCTCTGCCCGTCAAATGCAATCATACAGCACTTAATTTCTTTAACACAAAAACTGGTTCTATATTTTATAAGCATGTACAAGTTTCTAACTGACAACCTTTCAGGTTCCTGAACAGAACCATACACACTTAGCACGCCCAGATTCCTAGGCTGTTGTTCTGGGGAAGACATCAAGGATGCAAGTGTTCAGAGCCCCTGGACCCCTGGAGCAGTGATTTTTGCTCAGTCAGATGACTGCAGACCCCTGTTCTGACACAAGGACAGACACACGAGGAGGGGAAGTCGCCGGAGGCTACCTTAGGTCTCTAGTTAACTAGGTAGACATGTAACTGCCAAGCAGAGCAGACAAACAGTTGAGCGTTGTCTGCGCAGAGCTTCCTGCTTGCCGCCCTCTAAATTCTCAGTAGTTTTTGCATATCTCACTACTCCCATGGGGCAATCCTTTGTGGTCAAAGCTGTCTTTTTGCCATCTGCCATTCCTTCCACGTTACTTCATTCAGCAGAACCTTATACAGTGGGACTCTAAGGAAAAGTGAGAGCATCTCACCCTTGGGTGGAAAACCAGCCCCCGTGCGGAGCAGGAGTGAAACGTACTGGTGTGAAGGCAGGTTGCAGATATGACTGTCGGGATGCACAGTCACTGCACAGGACTGGCTCCTCGATAGTTTATCTCAGAAATTAGGAACCGACATGCTCTGATGTGCAGGTGCACCTGCTTCTCACCCTTGGCTTGTGCCCAGTGGGTAGACACCAGGGAAATGAGAACTGGTCCATGTTAACACCCTCCCCTCTCCTCCACTGACCTAGTGTTTACCTGGTGTCCATTTCTAGGGATTGCCCCTCCTCCCTTTCCTGAGGGTGGTTGCATGTGTGGGGATGTGGCCTGAGCTGGACTTGAGACAGAGAAGGAAGGACGGGCATCTTTAGTAGTGAAACTGATGGACTCCTTTGTTTCTGGCAGCTAGGGGTTCGGCCTCCTGCTGGAATGGCACCAGGAAGAGATGGCTGTGCAGGTAGTAGTACCGAGAGGCTGAAGCTGGCAGCAGACGCCTCACTCATGGCTCCAGACGTCCAGAAGCCAGCTTGTGCTCCTGTCCCTAGAGTCCAGGGGACAGTCCAATTGCCTCAAACTATGTGTCTTCCCACCTCAGCTCGTCTGCTTGGTTTTACCTGTAACCAAACGCACTGTAAGCAAAGCAGGGTCTCTGGTGGAAGAGTGGAGAAGACCCTCGGCCAAGCCTGCGGAGAAGGCGTCTCAGAGGTTGGTGCCCTGAGAGTGTTTGTTCATTGGTTATTAGTTCTCTTCCTGCCTGAGTCCAGTATTAAATTAGGACCAGCATGATCTGAGATCTTCTTAGAGAAGGACTAGGTATTTCTGTTCATAAATGTTCTGACTCCAAGACTTGGTCAGCAAACACCTGGGCTTCACTTCATGCCACAGTCATCTACTTTGTTGGTTGTTTCTTAATACAGTCAAGATGAGAATACTGAAATTCAAGGATCTTGAATTCTTTTATTCCTGTAGGGGATTTTCAGAGCATTCCACAGCAGGGAGGTGGGACAGAGGGCAGAGGAAGTAAGATCCTGGGGGCAGGGCAATGCCATTGGGTGGGAACTGAACAGAAAAACTGAAGAAAAATCCACCAAAAAGGAACAAAAACAGATGGAATAGTGGAAAAGTGATATGAACAGAAAGGAAGGATAAAAAGCTCTTCTAAGTAATATTCAACCTCAACAGCAAGAGAAATGCAAACTAGAACACGACTGAGATATCACTTTTCTAGGCAAAATTCTGAATCTGGATACAACACTCTGTGGGGAAATGTGCTCATGGGTTAGTTGAGCTAGTGGACCTGTGGACGTTCGGGAACACTTGCCAAACACCCTGGACCCGGTCTCCCACCTCCAGGGATTTCTCTAAACTTTCACACGCGCAGAACGACAGAAGCATGAGGTTAGCTGCTGGGTCACTGTTCAGTGAAAGATGGGAAACCATTTATTGACTGGGCCGGGGAGGTCACCGACGGCACATTCATACGACACAGAACAGGTTGGAAGAGAACCAGGAGGTTCTGTGTTTATGGCGGGAAGGTCTGCAGATACAGCAGAAAGTGAGAGCCGGAACAGAACAGTGTGCAGGGGATGGCACTGCTCGCATGGAGAGGAGAGCAGGAAGCAGTCAACAGCCTCTGTGTGCAATTTCCAGCCAAAAATGCTGAACTGAAAGGCAGTCACGAGGGGACAATCAAACATAAGCCGAGGGACAGTCTACAAAATAACTAGTCTGGACTCCTCAGGAATTTTTTTTTAATTAAAAAAAGTTGGAGTGTAGTTGTTTTTTTGCACTTTATTTGTTTTGAGGGGAGGTAGTTAGGTTTTCTTATTTCTTTCTTTCTTTATGGAGGTACTGGGGAGCGAACCCAGGACCTCATGCCTGCTAAGCATGCACTCTACCACTTGAGCTATACTTCCCCCCAGGGAGCAGTTCTTGATTAAAGGAAACTAAAGAAGTGACAGCCAAACACAATGTGAGGTCCTTGACTGGACTCTGGATTAGGACCAGATCTGCTTAGATGTCACGGGGGCAGCGGGAGAAGTGGGAACAGACTGCACAGTGGATACCGCTGCACACTAACCCCTCCTGAGTGTGACAGCCACACGTGCTGATGCTCTTAGGGTGTTGATGCCAAAGCATTTATGGGTGCAGTCTGACGTCTGCGACAAACTCTCAAATATCCAGGGCAACAATACAGGGATATATAGAGAGCAGATGAGTCAGTTAACAACCACTGCCTCCATGTGCAGCATACGTAGGTGTTCCTCACATGAGTCTTTCAACTCCTCTGAAGGTTTGAAATGTTTCAAAATTGGAAGCTGGGGAAAGAATACATTTGTGCGTTCCTGTGCGTACCTGAAGAAACTCAGGAGGGACTTGAGGGAGCTGTGGGTGCTGGGCTGGGGGGGTGTCTTTTCACAGTATATACACCTCTCCATACTTTTTGAACTTTGAAAATGTAAACGTGTTATCTTACACATGCAAAATAAACACATGGTAAAATTTCTGCTATAATTTGTGAGTCAAATTAGGTCTAGACCAGGTTCCTCAACCTCAGCACTGTCGACAGGTTGGGCTGGATAATTCTCTGCTGTGGGGTCTGCCCCTATGCATTGTAGGACTGTGTCTGGCTTCCACCTACTAGATGCCAGTAGAAGCCCCCACCCCACCACCGTGACAACAAAAAATATCTCCGGACACCACCAAGTGTCCCATGGGGGCAAATTGTTTAGGAAGTCCCAGGCCAGACAAACAGGACCAGGGACTCCTGGGCAATGATGCAGCACTCAGGGAAGTGAGGGTTCGGGGGCACCATTAAGGCGGCAATACCTGAGGCACCAACCCATCTTTATGAATGCAGTTACCTGGAAACGTTCATTGTAAAAATTACAGATTGGGGGTTGGGTATATCTCAACGGTAGGGCCCATACTTAGCATGCTCCCAGTCCTGGGTTCAATCCCCAGTACCTCCATAAATAAAGTAAAATATCAGCTGAATTTGGCAACCACACATTTCTAATAATTGGGTCTTTTATGGCCTTCTGGGTCCCTGAGAGCATGGACAGGGCAGTGCAGAGGTGTGAAACTGGCATCGCAGTGTGTTTGCTCACCCTGTCCCCCGACACGAGGCAGTTCCCGTTGGGGCTCCAGCTGAGGACGGTGATGTCGGCGGTGTGCGTTGGGGGGACCACGTGCTGCTCCTTGTCCTGCTTATTAAACACGACCACTTCTCCTGTCTCCCAGCCCACAGCCAGAATCAGCCGCGTTTGGTGCCAGCACAGGGAGGTAACCCGGAACGCCCTCTCCATATGTGTCTCCGGCACGTGATCACCCTGCGACAGACGAGGTAAGGCCCTGGTTACAGGGAGTGGCAGATACTCTAAGAACCCAGTCAGTGGAATGACACTGGCTACAAAATATAAAGAGCTGTTTATTAAGGAAATAGTAACTTAATTTTCATAGAAACATTCATTTGACCACACTGATCAGCTTGTCAATAAGACTTTATTTACAAAAACAAGTGGTGGGCCAGCACGTGAAGTGGGTCAACCCAAGATTCTCGAAGTGTGGTTAGGCAACCCTGAGGACCTTTTTGGGGTCTGCAGGGCCAAGGTCATTTTCAGAATGATTCAAAGATATGCTTTGTCTTATTAACTCTCATTCTCTCAGGAGTGTTTGGTGGAGTTTTCCAGAAGCTCTGTGATGTGTGATGATGTCACTGCTCTGACAGCTAATGGAATAAGTGCTTATATAGTCTTGTGTTTTCTAGAATTTTCTAAGGCAGTAGTTTTAGGGTATAAATTGTGTATTTTCAGAGATTAATTCAGTTTTTTCTCAGCACTTCTACTGAGTTCTTTCTAGCAATCTCCAGTTATATCTGCTATTTCTGTGACCTTATTATCATCCAATAAATCATTATTTCAAAATCTCTAAGCTTTCTTTGTGCCAATTAGAAACACAGGAAACCATAGTGACAGTCATGGCCTATTTTAAGTTTTCTAAATGTTAAAATGTATCTAAAAATGCTATTATTTTGGAATTTAATAATATTTATCTTAAAGAGCAATTTTTAATACATATTGGAGATTTCTGTGACTCCCAAAAGGGAGGACTATACATCAAAACAGCTGGGCGACACTGTGAGTGGCACTGGGGCCAAAGACTGGCCTGTGTCCCACAGGAGATCACAGTGAGCACATCAGGAGGGTTTGCCCTCGTGCACGTGGTGATGAGGGAAGGGCTTCCTCAGGAAGTGCCCACTGAGCCTCTTTCAACCGGAGGATTAAGGTACTAATTAGGCAAAAAAGTCAAGAAAGAGTGTCCCGGGTGGAGGGCACAGTGGGAGGAGTGAGGGGGGAGGCCCATGTGTCTGCAGCATGGAAGGAGGAGACCACACGTGAGGCAGGTACTGGGGCCCCGTCTGGGATTTCTGTCCTCACTGAAAGAGCAATGCGGCAGTAGGGAGCAATTCCATCTCTGATTCCAAAAGATGCCTCTGCTGCTGGGTGGGGGTTGTGGGCTGCTGCAGGGAGGAGGCTGTGCTGGTTTGCCAGAGGAAAAGGGGTAAACTAAAAAAATCTGGTGGTGGGTTCAAGGCAGGGGAGGGGAGTCACTGTCATTCCCAGGCCCCACTCTAGGCACCTGGACTAAGGGTGATGACTTTCACTGAGACAGGAGGTCCCAACACTAAGCCTTTGCAGGGAAATGTGGGGCAGGGCACGAGTAGGGCAAAGTTCAGTCTTTTTTTGGTCACGTAGACAATGGGGTCTGTTTAAAACACCCAGGAGACAGCCCATGGACAGCTGGATTCCTACATCTGCAGCGCAGGGGGGTACTTACAGGCTAGAGCCATAGGCCAGTAAGTCATCTACTGATACAGTAACCAGTCTCAGGAGGAGGAGGAGACAGAGGGAGAAAGGGCTTGGACAGGCTCTGAGATGAGCTGACGGCAGTCAGGTTTGGAAGAGGACAGCTGGGAGGCCTGGAGGAGGCAGGGGGGAGGGCAGCCCCCTGGAGTTCCAGGTGTGCTCTCTGGAGGACCTCACAAGAGTGTGAACCGTGCAGAGAGGGGATAAGGACCCATGGGGTGTGTTATGCAGATGTCGCTGATGAATTCAAGCTTGGTTGAACTTACCGGAGTGACAGCGAGACTGCAGAGGGTGGAGGGGTGAGTAGGGAAGGAAATCTGTTTTTCTTGGTGAAGCAGGAGGTACACAAGAATTTGGGAGGGTAGTGCTAGAGGTTTCAGGAGCTTCTAGAAAGTTTCTGTTATGGGTTGAATTGTGCACCCCCAAAAATATGTTGAAGTCCTAGCCTTGGTACTTGTGATATGACCTTATTTAAAAATAAGGTCTTTGCAGATGATCAAGTTAAGATGAGGTCATGAGGGTGGGTCCTAATCCAACATGACTGGTGTCCTTATAAGAAGAGGAAAGAGACATGGACACACAAAGGAGATGGCTGTGTGATGATGGAGGGAGAGACAGGAGTGATACAGGTACAAGCTGAGGAACACTGGGGATGGCTGGCAGTCACCAGAAGCGAATACAGAGCACAGAACAGATCCTCCACTAGAGCTTTTAGAGAGGGCAAGGCCCTGCCCGCCCCTTGTGCAAGACTTCTGGCCTCTGGAACCATGCGAAAATACATTTTGGTTGTTTCAAGCCACCCGATTTGTGGTCTTTTGTTATGGCAGCTACTGGAAACGAATAGTGTCAAATAGCCAATGTGAGCTGACAGGAGGCTGGATCAGGATGGACAGATGACACTGAGGGGCCAGTTCTGGTTGGGGACTGGGAATTGATTGTGGAATCTGTCTTAAGCATTCCTAAATATGTCTCCCAGACTAAATAGCAGGGGTAAAATAATTATTCACATAATAGGGCTTTTACAATATTGGGAATTTGGCCTCAGTGAGAACACACACACACACACACACACACACAAGAACAAAAGAGAGATAAGAGCCAGAGGCCACTGAAGTCAGAATTGTTTCTTTCCTACTCACCTGCTCCAGGTATATATCCACACTGCCACCCGAGGTCGTGCTGACAGAAGCGACTGCCAGGAATGGGTGAACAGGGTGCCAAGTAATGTGAGAGGGAGATCCAACTGAGTCTGGGGCATCTATGCGGTGGTCAAAATAGAGGGCCATGATGAAACTCAGACCCGGTCAGGGCTGAAATCTGCAGGGGAAAAACAACCAAGTCCTGTTGGTTTTCAACAAGACAAACAAAACAACTAGACAGAGAATTAGGAAACAGAATCATCACAAACCTACAAGCATAAGACACTCAGCAACTTATAAATGCCCCTTCAGACCGATGCAGGCAATTTTAGGTGGAAGAGATCTTCACTGGGAAAAAAAAATATGTGATTAGAAGCAAGGGATTATATCTGGCATGATGGAAAACAGTAACACATACTGCCATCAAGACAATAAAGAAAACCCTGAGGCCTAGGCTGTATGTGTAATCCTTGATAATTTTTTTGGTGGGGAGGGAGGTAATTAGGTTTATTTATTTACTTATTTTTAATTATTATTTTTTAATGGAGGTACTGGGGATTGAACCCAGGACCTTGCGCATGCTGAGCACATGCTCTACCACTGAGCTATGCCCACCCTCCTTGATCATTTTTATTCCAATCATAATAAGGACAATTTATATTTCTCTAACTCCTCTTTCAGCAAAATTTTCAAACAAAAAGAAAGAAAACTGCTTCATGAAAGAGAAATGTATGGGAAAACCTAGTGCTCAATTTCTTTTTTTTTTCCTTTCATTTTTTTTCTTTTTTTTTTCAATTTCTGAGTGAGCATGAAAACTCAGGCTGCTTCTCCCTTCCACTGAGGTGGCAGCAGCAAAAGGACTCATTTGTCAGAGAGTCAAGAAAGCGAAGCTATAGCAACTGAGGAGAAATAGAACTTCATTAGTTACATGAACTTAAAATATTTTTTTCTTTCCTGGAAAAGATGTGCACACTGTCCCTTTATAGGAGGGGCGGGAAGGAGAATGGAATGACAGTCTGATGACTGCCCACGTTTTCAAATCCTGGAGTCAGTTTGGGGAGGCCAGTTAGCAGGGAAGAGATGATATGTGAGTTAGTTTGCTATCTTTAAAACTGTTCAACTTCAAATGGGTAATATCAAACGGGTATTATCAGAAAAATAGAAAGTAAAAAGTGTTGGTGAGGATGTGGAAAAATTGGAACCCTTGTGCACTGCTGGTGGGAGTATAAATGGTGCAGATGCTGCGGAACAATTTGGCAGTTCCCTAAATATTACACATTGAATTGCCACATAATTCAATAATTCCAGTTCTGGATATATACCCCAAAGAATTGAAAGCAAGGACTTGAACAGCTATTTGAACACAATATTCATAGCAGCATCCTTCAGAATAAAAAGGTGGAAACAACCCAAATGTCTATCGACAGATGAATGAATAAACAAAATGTGGTATATTCATACAATGGAATATTATCCAGCCTTAAAAAGGAAAGAAATTCTGACACATTACAACATGGGTGAACCTAGAAGACATTATGCTAAGTGACATAAGCCAGACACAAAAGAACAAATATTGTATGACTCCACTTGCACAAGGTACCTAGAATCGTCAGTCACAGAGAGACAGAAAGTAGACTGGTGGTTGTCACAGCCTGCTGGAGGCGGGGCTGGGAAATTAGAATTTAATGTATACAGGGTTTCAGTGAGTGAAAATGAAAAAAAATTCTGGAGATGGATGGTGGTGACAGCTGCATAATAACATGAATGTACTTAATGCCACCACTGAACTGTATATACTTACGAACGGCTAAAATAGTAAATTGTATATTATCTACATTTAACCACAACAACAAATTTTGGAAAAAAACTATCCAGCACCTGCAAAATTCTATCACTAGAGTAGGGAATGGACTATGCCATTTGCTTTTAACAATAGTTGTATCAGAGGAAGCCAGGTTGGGTCTAGAGACAGAAACTTGGTTCTTCAAGAAGCTAGAAGGCACATGGGTACAGTCACATTTCAAATGCTTATCTTTTTCTTATGAACATAGACCCTGAATACTAAACTCACTACCACAAACTGAAGAGCCTCTTCAGGGCTCGTGGTAGAGCACCCGGGCACCGGCAGGAGGAGCAGGGTGGGTGGGGGCCTGGGATCAGGGGAGAAGGCAGGATCTGGAGGCCTCCTGCACATACAGCACTTAGGGGGCATCTACACTGGTCAGGGCTCTGGCTTCCTTGATTAGAGTCTTCATGCAAACATTCACAGAAAGCCAATGACAATGAGGCACATCAGGTTAAAAACTGGGCAGTTTAATGCAGCAAGGAAACCTTTGAAAGTGGGTTTTAATGTATTGCAGCCAACCCAGAGTCTCCATTCTGGGATATTGGAAATTCTTATTCATATTTAACAAGTTTACTTTGTGTAAATATGCCTTGGAAAAATGAATAACATGTTAATTTTATTGAAATGATGGAGAAGGAGTTAGAATAGCATTTGACAGAGTTAAACCAGATTTCCTCTCTTTGATTTCAAACATCACTTTGTAATAAGCAAGTGTACTAAAAGATCTTTAAATTACTTTCTTCTTGCCTGGAGGAAGGCTCTCTTCCCTACACCCCTGCTCTGGGAAATCAGGAAGCCTCCTTTCCTCCAGGGAGCTCTCAGACTTGATTTTTTGGTTGTTCAGTGCTTCTGCCCAGTGTCCCCATAGAACCCTGTATTTCTCTATTGCTGCGTTTAGACTTTATTGCAAATGTGTGTTTGACTGACCATTCTCTACTCCCTACCAGACTATCTGCCCCATAGGGTAAGGGACCACCAGAACATTTCCAGCTCTTAGAACAGTGCCTTCCACAGAATAGGTCAGGATATGAGAATTCCTGATGAAGATACTTATTAGCAAGGAACGATGTTTTTGATGTTTTGTTAGTTGTAAAAAGTGGGTTAAGGCCAGGGCAAATGAATCCATTTTTATACAATGTATGACTTCATCATTCTTTTCACTTGTGTTTTAACATTTTTCTACCATGGATAAGTATCATCTGCATAATTACAAAAGAAAAGTTACCAAAGTAAACACAAGGAGGAGCGATGACTAACAAAATCGTGAGCTCATGGCATCTATTAATTACATCAGTTCAGAAACAAGTCTATTTCCTTTCCTTAAAACAAACTCGGGGTCTCTAAAACACACAACGATTTGGCAAATAAATAAACTTTGAGGAAAAGAGAAAAAATTTCCATTTGTTCCCACCGATTTGCTCCTGTCACTCCCAGCTGTCCAACATCTTTACGCCTCCGCCAAATCAGCTTTTGGGAAAGAACCTGTTAAGGTCTCTCAACTGAGCGGTTCGTGAAAATAAGGATAACTTCAGTTGCATTACTGCTTGGAGATGCTGTGGGAGGGAACCGGAAGGACTCAGAGGCAATGGGGGTTGAGTGGAGGGGCATGAGGACAGGCGCTAGGGGCCACCCCGAAAAGCCTCACCCTCTGGACAACCGCCCCTGGGCTTCGGGCAGTGCAGGGTCAGAACTGCGTCCCATGGCCATCGCTGATTTGGACGGTGCGGTCCCTCGGGCTGCAGGACTGACTACGCCGAAAAGTGGTTTTCTTATTCCCTTCCTATCCGGGTGTTACCGCGAGCGCTGCTGGCGCCGCCACCTCCCCTCCGGGTCCACTCCCTCGAGACTCGCGCGGCTACGCGGCCCTCAGTCGGACCTGTCTGCACTGGAGGTGGCCCTCAGCTCGCGCTGACCGCTCGGAGGCCGCGCCCCGCACCCCCTCGCCTTGGCCTGACCCGCGATGCGGTCAGGCGATCCGCCGAGGCCGGATTTCGGGACGAAAGTAACCTAGGAGGGCGAGGGAAGGGGGTCGGCCCGCCTCGTCGCCCTCCCGGCCCCAAGCTCCGGGACCCCTCGGAAGCCGCCGATCCCCCGAGCTGCCCAGGCCCCAGGCCTCCCAAGCCCCTCCCTGGCCTCGCCGCTTCGTTTCCCTCCTCCCTGGCTCCCGGACTCCCGACCCCCTACTCTCTGGCCCGGACCCGGGGCCCGCACCCACCTTTGCTGGGCCGCAGCGCCGCCGCGCGTTGCCGGTTCAACAGCTGCGAGCCGAACTCGGATACAACCGAAGCTAAGCGAGCAGATGCCGAGGCCGCCCGAAGCACCCAGAGAGGCCGGAAAGAGCCGAAGATTATCGGGGATGTTCGTGCGGCGCGAGGGCAGGATCCCTCCCGCGGTTGGCGAGCTCCGCGGTGTTGTGGGGCAGTTTTTCTTCTTCGCAGTCACGGTCTAGAGACGACAACTCTAGCTTGAAGGGAGGGGCCATGAGGAGGGAAGCTGCGCAGAGGAGGGAAGCTGGTGAATTCCTCTAGGTGTGATGGGGGGTAAACGGCCCCTTGGGGACCTATGGTTACATTTTTCCAAACCCCTAGGTCAATCCAGGAGGAAGGCAGCAGAGAGACTGCGGGAAAGAAACGGAACGCCATTTTTTTTTAAGATTCTCTCCTCTCTGGTTAATCATATTGCTGGTCTTCTCGACCCCAGACGGTTTGCTAGGTTCTGCTTTGTCTAGTCTCGTGGAGGGTGTCGTTCAAGAGTATTCCTGAGAAAATCCAGTGAAGTTGCTAACTTATGACATGCGTTCAGTGTTTGGCGGTTTTTACGGACGCCTTTGGCGAGAAAATAGTAGTCAACGATACAGGTTCATCCGGTTAAAAACCAACCTGGTTTCTAATCCTGCCGGCAGACTGCATTCCATAAAGGCATCACCAACGTGCCGCCCTGGCCTAACGGTCTGTGGGTTAAACTAATTTTGAAAAGCAAAGCAATGTCATTCATTAAAAAAAAAGTTACTACAGCAAAAAAGCCCACGTTGTTAAACAAAGAGAAAAAATAAGAGGAATGTGTAGGTACTACCTAATCAGAGGGGCTAGGCGCAGGATCACACATATACAAGAGTATTTTTAAAAGCCCCATTTTCATAAACACTAGAATTTTGTTGAACAAATTTGACATGTAACATTGTGTAAATTTAAGGTGTAGTGTTACTTTGATACATGTATATATTATAATCGGGAAGTAGCGATATTTATCATATTACATAGTTATAGTGCAATATTATTGTGTGTATCCGTTGTACTGTGTGTTAGATACTATTTCTTATAAGTTTGTACCCTTAAACACGGATCAGTCTTATCTTGATTCACTCTGTAAACACTAGATTCAAAACACACTCCTTTATCGCCAAAACGAAGAAAAACAACCTAAGTGCTCAGCACCATCCGAAACACTAAAAAACTTTAAAAACACGCACTCAACTCAATAAAAGGTGTGCTTATCGGCCTCAGTTACACTTTTAACACTTTCTCCGTAAAAACCTGGTTCGCGCCTGATTCAAGACTCATAGCTGAGGCGGCGTTTTCTTCTCACGCATCCGTCAACACGACTCAGGCCAATCACAGCCTAGGCTCTGACTCTATTGGCTGTCGATCCACCAATCGAGAGAGACGTACCAGTCCGCACAGCCGCGAGGACGGCGTCACAACATCACCCGCGCCGCAGGCCGGCCTCTGCCCCCGCCCAGCGTCGGTGCGTGTAAGCGCGCGCGCCCGCTGCTGGCCA